TTTTATATTTTCCGTAAACAAATGTTGAGTGACTGTTTTAGCCATTTTGATGCTTTTCCCAGCCATTCTTCTGCATAATATTGTTTGAAACTGATTGTTTTTCATGAACACTTTGATTATTTCCTGCGTAAAAGGGTTTTGGTGAAGCATCTACAAATATCTTTATTGCCTATTGCTGCCTTGTTAATCTGACTATTCCAGGTTTTCATCAGTTCTGTATTTCTCCTAAATCATATCAACCACAGTTCTCAGGTCACCGTTTCCACGCAGCCAGCCTTGTTTTCCCTTATTCCTGGTTCTAGGGCATTGAGCTTAGGCTGGTGATACACCTGCAGTTTTCTTTGTGGGAGTGGAGACAGACCTGAGAGATGCGTGGAGGAAGGGGAAAGGGGTAGCCAATGTGTCCGGGGTGGTGAAGGGGAAATTCAAACTGTAGCTGCTGAGCGGTGGTCTCGTGTGACCAAGGAATGGTCTGTCATGGAGTGCAGGAAGGCCCGGCTGCAGAAGGGGTTAAGCTGCCTGGATGCAGGACTCCAAAGGCTGAACTGCTCCCTGTGAGGGAGTGGAGTTTCCCTTGGTGGTGAGACAACAAACAGCCACACTTGTCACAGCCATCCTGCGAGGTGGTGCTCAGGGGTCAGAGCTGGGCCCAGGGATGGACCCACGGGGGCTGAGGTGCCTGTGCAGCCACTCAGGGCTGGCGCTGGTGCCAGCATAGGTCAGGAATGGGCTCCCCATGATCTTTGCAGACTCATTGTAGAACCGCTTATGGCGGTAGGATGCTGCCTAATGCATTGATCATTAATTTATTTTTTTTATTTATTTAAGCACAGACGTGTTAAATTCGCCTCAAGGCATACCATAAAAACTCCCCAACAACTGCTGGAGTTCTGATCAGAAAGAGATGGAAAATATGTTTACAGATCTTTAGAGAACCAAAATAGGCGCCTGCTAAAACCTGGTGGTGGTATTTGCTCTGCCTCACTGTCGTCCTGTCACTAGCTAGTACGTAATTTGGCAGGTAGCATCATTGGTTTCCAGAGCAAAACTTGAGACAAGCAGCCAGGACACCCGTACACATTTAAATGTTCTCTTGTCTTCTTTTCAGCAAATGTTCAAAACCCAGTTTATTAGGAATTCAGCTTATTTTCAGGTTACTAGTCAATAGCTGATGGTAGATTATCATGATCTCTCATTCATCTTTCCTCAGGGAATTTCATTATGCCTCTTCTGTCACAAGTTTTCTTGAGGAGCTGAGAGGGCATTATACTAACAGTTCTCTTTCCAATTTGTATCTAAATTCAGTAATTGAAGTTATGGTTTTATCTAATATCTTCTGTTTTCTCCCCAGATGTAAAAAAAAAATCATGTGTCTCTCTAGGGTGGAAAACCAGCATTTATTGCAGTTTTCCTCATGGAACATTATTTTGCTTTAATTTCCATTGTTGAATCTGACAGAATGCACAGCAATCTAATCTAATTTTCATTCGAGCAATCTGGCAGCTCTTTTCCCCTCGGTGTCAAAATGCAGCTGAACTAAGATAATGATAACCGCATTGTACAATTACTTTAGTAAAAAATATTCATGAGTCAATCTACATTAAAAAAATGTTGCCAAGGCTCTTTTCAGCTGGGAAAATTACCATGCTTTTAAAATAACTTGTACCCTTCAAAAAAGAGGAAAGAGGCATCTGGCCTTCTGAAAAGCAAAGATGAAAGCAGATTTGAAAGAATGCAACAGGGAACATTAGGCAAATACATATTTAAGAGGAGATGGGTGAATGCTGGGGGGTAATTCCGTGGCTCTGTAGTAAAATGGATGAGGAAAAGATTCATCTCTACTGCTCCATTTGTTTTTCTGTTAAATATTTATATTTCCTAGAGTTGGAATGGAAGGCAAAACGTGATCAGAGATCTGAAAGGCTGAAGATAATGGGATCCGATGCCTTTTTTCTCCAGGCTCTTGTTGCATGCATGGTCTAGATTGCGGTTCAAGGGCCTGTATGAAGCAAGTGTAGAGTATTGGCCCAGGGCCAGTCAACAGGTGTCTGCATTATTTAAAACCCCTACAATATGCACTAATTGTCCTCTTCTTGTCCTCTTCAGCAGGGAAGTCCATATGATGATGAGGTTTGAACTAGACTGTTTGTCCAGCTCAAGGGTGGTAGTCTGAGGAAGCCTGCACCAGCTTCCTGTCCTGTACCTCCTGTGTGGATAATCACAGAATCGTAGGATAGTTTGGGCTGGAAGGGACCTTCAGAGGCCATCTAGTCCAACCCCCTGCAGTGAGCAGTGACATCTTCAACTAGATCAGGCTGCTCAGAGCCCCGTCCAGCCTGACCTGGGATGTTCCCAGGGACGGGGCATCCATCCATCTCTGGGCAGCCTGTGCCAGTGTTTCACCACCCTCATCATGAAACATTTCTTCCTTGTATCTAGTCTGAATCTGCCCTCTTTTAGTTTTAAACCATTACCCCTTGTCCTATCACTGCAGGCCCTGCTTAAAAGTAACCTGAAACCTGTATGTCAGCAACCCTCTGTACAGCAGTGCATGTTCCCCCCTTAGCTTTATGCTGCAAATCTTCTCTAGCCGAGCAACTGTGACCATGCTGGCTTGTGTCATCTTCTGTGCCTTCTGGCAACTTCCCGGCTGCACCTCTGGGCTGACAATACCCCTTTGTGGCACATCAGGCTAGCTCTCCTTTCCTGTTGGCCTCTGCATCCCTGTGTGCTGGATCTTTGCCAATTTATTCCAACACTAAATTGACAAAACATGTTGCTTCTCTACTGCCTTTTCACTGCCTCCTCCCATTCTCTCTTCTTACTTCTCATATTAAAAATACTGAACCCCTCTCCTCCTCTCCTCTCCCTCTCCTCTCCCTCTCCTCTCCCTCTCCTCTCCCTCTCCTCTCCCTCTCCTCTCCCTCTCCTCTCCCTCTCCTCTCCCTCTCCTCTCCCTCTCCTCTCCCTCTCCTCTCCCTCTCCTCTCCCTCGGCCCTGTTCTGACCCAGGTTGCCTGTTAGGAGGTGCTGAAGCCAGCAGCCTTACACCAAGGCTGCTGCAGCTCCATTCCCGCAAGTCCAAGCAGTGAGGCTGAGCACATGTACTCCATAGGCATGTGCCCACGTGTGTACAACACATATGTACATTGTAGTCTGGGAGAGACTGCTGGTCTGGTTGCCCTGTCTGCTGTCGTTCATCAGTGCTCCTGTGTGTGCATGGAGTCAAACTGTTTGTCACACAACCTAACATTGTCCCTTCTAGTATCCTTCCCATTAACCACCTTTTCTTCCTGCTTTTTGTCTCCCAGGTAACTCTGTGGAAACAGTGTCTATGGCAGGCTTTGCCTGGAGGAAATGGAAATATTTAGCTGGTTTGTGCTCTTTACACGAGAGGCAGGTTCCAAGCAAGCCGTGCAAGCCCCTTGCTATTTAGCCATTAAGCTCTAATCTAGCTCCCACATATTTTCTCACTAACTGACTTTGATCAGTGTCTGCAGTGGATTGTGACAAAAAGCCGGGTGCTGACAGGTCCAATGACTGCTCTGCTTGTGGCCTTGCAGGAAGCAGAATGAGCGCTACAGAGTGCTTGCAAGGGCGTCGGGAAAGATTGCTGTGCTAGAGTGCTAGTGGCTGGTGATCTCACAGCCAGGAGGGAGGCGTTAGCTGAAGAGGTCACAGTGGGAGAAGCAGAGAGAAGGAAAAGGAGAGTGAATAGAGGTGCCTTTAAATTGCTTCATCAGAGTGGCAGGATGGCAAGAAAGTTTTTCCTGCTATTCTTCACATCATACCAGTTCTGTGAATAAAAATAGGTCACTATTTTTCAGAGCTTTTAGTCTGACATCCTTCGTGCGATCAAGTTTACTTGAAACTCAGTTCTGCTACGCGGCTTTCCCTGAGGAGTGGACGGATCCCTGGATGGTGGAAGAGTCCTGCTGTGACTATCATGAGTAGATGGTGGTGAAGAATGACCCAGAGTGCCTCTAGGAATGTACAAAAACATCTCATGTGTCTAAAATCCTAAGATTTGGGAATGCTTAGGAAACAAGGGTTTTTTACAAGAAGAGAGAGATGATTCCGTATTTCTTTGGACTCAGCTAATGGAAGCCTTTTGGTGTGTTTCACTTTGGTTTTATGTAAATTCTGCATTGCCATGCCATTTTGCTACTGCACAGCTATTTGAAAGTAGGACTCGATATGAACAGGACGTTGAAGTTAACCAGCCTCATTCCATTGTTCTCTCACCACAGAAATTGCAAACATCAAGGCAAAGTACAGTAGAATTGCTTTAAACAGAAATAGCCCTATAAAATCTAACAAGACTGTTCCAGGTGTTTCTACAAACAGATGTTGGAATTTGTGTCCCTATGGTGCCAGTTCAAGGAATAGCCTACTGTTGTGCCAGTGTGACTACCAAAACAGCAGGTACTTGGTACCTGTAGAAGTCATGCACACATGAAAATGTACATTGTCTGCAGATTACCATGAAAATGTGCATTGTCTGCAGATTACCATTTGCATTTGGAAACAGTCTAAACTACTTGTTTTGTGCTGCTAAGTGTATGTGCAGGCACACTTAACTGTTTGTTGTCCTAGCACAAATCACTCTGGACAGTTGTATTGCCATTAAGTATCGTTGCATAGATAGCTCAGTTATAGTTACTGCTTTAAAGTTTGAGCTAGATTTTAAAACAATGATTATTTTTTAAATGCTTGCAACTGTGTGTCAATTGACCACCTTTTAGAAAATATATATGTAATTTTAAACTTCAGGTTTGTTTTATTTGCAGGTGTGAGGAGCAAGATCTGCACTTTATTGAACAGTACCTGCAATCAGTTTGATAGCTAGAATGACCTGCTGTTCAGCTTTTGTGGAACTGGAATCAGATGCAAACCCCAAAACTTCCCCAGAATTTGTTGTTGACTTAAACGACAATGTGGGAGACTTCAGGGTGAAATGAGCAGAACGTGAAAGATTTTGCACAACACAAGAGTTACCCCATGTTGATTTCACCAGATTCTGACTCTTCAAAAATCAGTGGTTTACTGCTTGAGAAGTGCAGAAAAGCAGAAGCATCGTCCCCATTTGAGAAATCGCACAGACGCTTGTTTAACACAGAAGACAATGTGGATGTAAAAAATTTATTTAAAACCCAGGAAAATATTTCCTGCCTAATGGACTTGTCAGAGAATGGTGATGACCTAATTCGTTTTAACAGTGTGGCCAATGTCGCTGCTGGAAAAGCAGAGAAATAACTGCAGCAGGCAAGGGCATTCCCACCCTGCAAATGCAATCACTCATCACATACACAACTGTTGCCTTAAGACGGAAGACTCTGTATCTGGTCAGACTCTGGCCAATGTCCAGGCGTGTGAAAAGACTGGGCTGGGTAGACCTCTAACCATGAATACCCTGTTTGGTGAGCAGGCAGATACTCCCATGGTAAATCACAATTATTCTGTAAAAGACGATTCTGAAAATTCTGCTACTATTCTGGAGATTTATGCAGAGAAAATTCCACGTGTAAGTGATGATTTTTCTGATGATGACCTAGAGTATTTTGAATGTTCAGATGTGCTGACAGCACATGAAAATGAAATCTGGAAAAAGAAATTACAATTTTTATTGGAAAGTGATGATGAAGATGATTTAAAGCTGAGTAAGGATTGTGATGGGTGTGCTTACTTCCTCAGTGAAATGCCTTGTCTGTTCCAAGTGTCAGATAACACTACGCCTATGGATACCACCATTGGCTTCTGTGGTCATCACTCAAAATTCAAAGGAGTAAATGTAAGGAGAGACCCCTCTATGCACAGGCAGTCAACTTCGCAGACAGAGATGACTCTCACTGTTGGACACCACCGAGATAAAAGTGCAAGTTTGAAAGACAAAGAAAAGTATAAATTGACTGTTGCATCTGCAGCCATTGAAAATGACCATCCCAGGACTGAAGAAGAAAATAGTGGAAGTGGCCACTCAGCTGCAGTTTTCTCAACTGACAAGTCAAAGAACAAGGAGAACATACGTGCCAAGACGGACTCCTCTACTGGTGGCATAGGTGCTTCTTTGACAAATCAGGCTTCAGAGACAATGACAGAAAACAGTACGGATAAGGACTTGCTGGGTGAGAGCTCATTGCTGCTAGAGGAGGACGGCAGAAATTTGCCAGAGGAAAATGCAAGGCGTGCTGTCTGTACCTTAACAGCAAGTCTAAGAAGAAACCTTTTAAAGTTGTTAAACCCTAAGGAGCTTTGCAGATATGTGAGTAATATAGGACAATCTCCGCAGACTGCAGCAGAGGTTAGGGAATCCAGTGCTCTGTTTCCCAGTCAGGAAGGTGTCATTTCAACACAAATCCCCGAGGAGACAGAAAGCTCGCAAATGCAGGCTGGCTTGTGTCGTATAGAAGAGGTAGATAAAGACTGTCATTGGGAACGGAAGAGGACTTGGGGCCTGTCTGAGCAAAATCAGATGCCAAATGAAAACATCTCACCCAGGGTAAGTAAAACGCTTATCACTTAATAGAAAGAGCTGGTCAACTGATCTAAGTGCATTTTATTCCTGTTTGTCACAAAATAATGTACAATTTAAATTACTTTGAAGGATACTATTCATGTACTTCTGAATGACAGCTACGGCTGGGAAGGAAATCTGGTTTTGAAAAAGGCCCAAATAAACCATAAGCTGTTCTAATTATAGAGCAAGACTGATAATAGTCAGAGGCACTAATGGGACTCTGGACAGCTGGATAGGGAAATCCGATACGTAGGCTATTGCACAGGTCTTGCCAAAGTAATGTTTCTTTCAACCCAGAAAGTTTCTCAAATACCTGCTTTGAGCAGAGAACATTTTGATTTACTTTCTTTTCAGTTTATGCTCAAAGAACAAAATTGTCCTCCACTTATGGTGCTGGAAATCTAAAACAAATCAACAGGGGTTTGCTCTGAATTTATAACAAGGAGGAGAATTTAATCCAGAGAGTTTATGTTAGAGGTGAATGGAGTTCTGCTTTTTAAAAACAAAACAATGAAAGAGTCAGATATTCCAGTTAAAATGTGAAAATCAGTTAAAAATAAAAAAATCAAAAGTGGTACTCTCCATGTACTTGCATATTTTATGCCGTTGGGAGGAAATCAGCTGGGGAAATGAGTATAGTTGTACAGACTGATATGATGCTCCACCAGTTTTTGTAAGCAGGAGAATTGGATCATACTTTTTATTTTGCATGGTGAAGACTCAAGATATATGAATACACATGTATGAGTATTAAATAATGAATAATCTTATTGTCACTGACTTTACTGATTTGAAGGTGCATAGCTAATTGCACAGAAAAAACCATTTATGGCAAATAAACACAAGCCTTTTCCAGGTCCACGTGCTTTTCTTCATCTATATTACCTAGGCAAAAATATCTTCCAGTTCTGGGTAGTAAACTGACTCTAATCTCGGCACTGGGGTGTCTTAAGCAGCGAAAAAATCACTGAATTCTTCTGCCTGAGAAACATCCATAGTTTCTCTGTGTTACAGTACATAAAATTCCAGTCACATTTTACCAGCACATAATGTTCTTACGATGGGCAACATCCCTCTATTGAAAGTGGCCTACTGAGAATGTCTTGACAGTATGTATTACTATGGTTTGCAAGAGGCATTGTTTCGTTTTTTTCCGAGAACAATAATTTACGTCCCTGAAGCCTCTTAGTAAAGAGCATCTGTTCCATTACAGTAAGTGCCATGGCCACATTTCAGATTGACCTGCAGTCAGTATGTCTTCTGTCTCTGTGTCCATGACCAAAACTTTACATTAGATAAAAATTAAGTAGAAGTGTCACAGTACACAAAAAGGGCTAGAGATGACTGCAAACCAAACCCCTGGTTTCAAATATGCATGAATGAAGATGAAATTCAGGTGCAGCTTTGGAATTATGCAGTCTTGAAAGTGAGCCAAAAACATCCTATCTAGAAACTACTCTTTATAGCACAAGGAAAATGTGGGCAGCTTCTCACAGCTCCCATGTAGTAGGCCAGAAAAGTCTCAGCAATCTGCATGTGTAACCCAAGAAAGTCAAGAAAGAATCAACCTCCTCTTGCGGCACACAAGTGTGTGTAAAAGTGCACTGTGGTATTAGCTGGAGCCCAGCATTTGAGACAGCTCTGCCAGGAGCTTGTAGCAAAACCCACAGCCGACTCCTTTTGAAGAGCGTTGGATTTTCCCTCTCTGTGTGGTAAATCAGGTCTGCCGAGAGGTGCATGGCAGCCACAGAACCATAGCACTAATTACCCAAGGATTTACACTTCCTCTTAGTGCCACGTTCGTTCTAACTGGAACAGCCTCTGCAGTCTGTTCTGTGCAGCAGCTGCTGTTCTGGGTGACTTCTGCTTCCATTAGATGGTCAGGGTGGGAGGCTCTTGACTCCTCTCATGACCTCATGGTCTAGCCCCAGGTGAAATTCTTTATTTATCTAATGCTTCAAAGCAGCTTGATTAATAATAGGTCCTAAAAGCCAACTGTGCTGCCTGTATGGTATTACATACTGTACGGTGAGCCAGGAGTCTTCAAGTTTGCACTGTCATTCCAGAGCTGGTCTCTGTGTAGTGTTCAGCCAGCACCCACAGCACAAGGTACTGGTGCCATTCCTGAATTACAGAGCCCATGTCTATGGCCTGCCGAATGCCAGCGATGTTGGTGAGATCCTGCTGGAACTCGCAGGGTCAGAGGGATTGCAGGGCATAAGCAAAATACTTAACATTCACACAGATACCCTGGGAAGAATGGCATGTGGTGATTGTACATTTCTAGAGTATTTTTTTTGGTGATCTACTGTTCTTCTTGCCGTTCATGGTCTTCAACCCCATGCAGCCCTACAGGCTTGGGGAAGAGTGGCTGGAAAGCTGTCTGGAAGAAAAGGACCTGGGGGTGCTGATTGACAAGTGGCTGAATATGAGCCATCAGTGTGCCCAGGTGGCCAAAAAAGCCAATAGCATCCTGGCTTGTATCAGGAACAGTGTGGCCAGCAGGAGTAGGGAGGTGATCGTCCCCCTGGGCTCACC